GGGTAGGGGGAGTAACTTAAGTCTCGGGATTGTAATGGAGAAAAGGGGGGGGGGGACGGATTACTGGTTGCAGATTAGGTGAGACGTCGCTGGGAAGCAAGATTTGGAAACAACGAGGTCCAGTCGCAGTGTTAAGTTAAGACGTATATGACTTAATGGACCGAAACTTCTTATCTCACTCTCATCACCAACCTTCATTATTGTCTCCTGCACTTGCACATCCTGCCATCTGCACTTCCAGGGTTGACCTGCGAACTGCAATCTACAAGGACAGAGTTTAAGGGAGGGGGAGGGTTACTTTAGTTTAGAGTTATTTTAGGCTTTAGTTTACTTTAGTTCTAGTTTTAGGCCCGAGATTTTGCAGCATTGGTGTCTGTGCCCCCCCCCTCTCCCTTCCCCGTCGGATGCACATAAATTTTCAAAAAATAAATGCATAAAAAACAATCGGTGTTTTTTTTTCCTCTTGATACCTTGAATACCTTGAACAGCTGTTGTTTCATTGATCTCTGATGTCGCTCCATCGATCAGTTGGCAACTTCTCCATTTCGATCGATCCTGAGCCTGACGAGACCAGGTGACACCATAAAGGCGCACGATTGGATCTCGCCATCGTGCTTGGAGGCCTCCCCAGTGTTCGTTTCATCGCGCGTGGGTACCACACCATTATCCGCTTTTTTCTTGATATCACTGAGAAAAATTTCATTTTAGGTCGCTGGGAAAAATTTCATTTTAGGTCGCTGATGATTGATTACGATGTGATAGATTTCGGGGCTGATGAAGATGCAGCAGAATTGCTTGCAGACAGCTTCACGATACGTAGTGATGTATTTTGCGCGGAGCAGAATGTCGAGAAAACAGTGGAATTTGACGGGTTGGATATCGGCGATTGTCGACATTTTTTGTTGAAATTGAGAAGCGACGGAAAGACAGTTGCAACGTGCCGGCTTCGACCCATTGATCAGTACGCCAAACTTGAACGAGTTGCCGTACAGAAGGTTTTTTTAAGTTTAAATCTAAATACGATTTAATTTTAATTTAAATACAGTTTAATTTAGATTTAAATTCGACTTAATTTAAATTTTAATTTATACTATTATAGTTTAATTTTAATTTAAATACGGTTTAATTAAGGCTTAAATACGATTTAGTTTAAATTTAAATTTAATTTATACCAACTGCAATAACC